CAAACTCATGACCTTTTTTTTACAAATGCATTTACTTAGATTTAGCCATTGGGATCTCAGGTTGGAGAATTAGATACCCCGACACTTGGTGCTAGTAGAGCCGGCAAACAGGTCGGGATGGCCTAGGCATGGTACAGCTTGACTCGCTAACGGCCATGTTGACCCAGCATTTTCGCGAAGGTCGCCCTTTTGGAATTTTCACCTTTTTTGGGCCCACAAATTGGCCAACACCTGCTTTTTTGGGCCCTCGGTGGGTGTTGTGAACGCCCAAGCTTGGCAATCAGGGCTCGACATTGTAGCGGGTCATGGGCATGACTTGAGCAGTGGCCGGTCTCGCCGGCCATCGTCGAGGACCCGGAGACCCCCGTCGGCCCTTCCGAGAAGACAAATAGTGAAAAATATTTTTAAAAAAATCAAATTAGTAAAAAATTATGAAAATGTTAGAATGAATTGCAAAAATTGTCCACATCAGCGTCGGCCATCCGGTCGTCCATGCAAGACGGCGGCAATCGGCGGTAGTCACATCATCGATTTTAAGGACTACATTGGAAAATCGTCAAAAAGCTTATGATTAAATTGGTCAAATTAAAAAGGTTGGGAGTGAATTGGCCTCTATACGATTGGTTTAGGAATTTTTAGACAATTTTCCTGATAATTTACTAAAGAACGTATCTCTGTCGAACTGGTCTACAATTAGATAATGTCCGATGTTGATCTAGGCTGCTTGGTTTAGCTTTTACACAAGCCTTTGCTTTGGGGCTTTTCTTTAAAAGAATAAAAGCTAAAAGCTAGAAGATGCAATTTACCTAAATTTTACAAGAACCTTGCTAGGAGGACTGTATAGTAATTTTCAATAAAGAACGGCGCAATTGTGACCACAAGGAACTTTTTCAAACAATGGGCAAGCGGTTGGATATTATAGAATGGGACTGTTATGGTACTAAAGAATCTTTTATTTTTGTTCTATGGCATTTTTAGTGTGCGTATGGTAACTTTTATGTTCCCAAAAATTATTTCTGTTTAGGAATAGTTATTTCTATTTCTATTATCCATACGAGCTTATAAGCAGAAGAATATATTTGGTAATTGTATAAAATTTCTATTTCCAATATAGAAAAAGTACATAAATACATTCAGTACGACCCTAAAAATTTATATTTCCATTTTTTGTCGTTTAATGGTAAAAATATCTGTGGAGACTTAACAAATGGATAAAATTAGACTTTTGTAAGGACTTAACTGATCAAGATATTTTGAGATGGCCTCACAAAAAAAATCCAACACAATAGTTAGTCAAATATGGATGGTTGAAAATGGCAATATAGAGTTATATTGGTTTATAACTCCTAATATGAAGAGGTTGGTAGTAAATCTTTTCGGTATTACAATAATTAGGTGCATAGACCTTTTAAGCTTTAGGGTATAGGGTGTAGAGTTTAGGGTGTAGGATATAGGGTTTAGGATCTAGGATGTAGGGTTTAGGATGTAAGGTTCGGGTGTAGGATTTCGGGTTTAGGGTTTAGGTTACGATGAACTTGTTCTTCTAAATTGACATTATTTCTCTTTTTGTTCTCAAGAACAAAAAAGTAGATTTTTGTTATTTCTTGTTTCTGTTCCAGTTCCAAATTTATTTCCTGACCACTGATACATGAAAATCAATGGAGCCTCATATAATTAAACATGTTATATTTTCTATGTATTAAAAAATGTCATGACATATGTAATTATAAGACATGGCATTTTTACAACGTTTTGCACTTGCTTATGGCGAAAGCACCATAAGTCTTTGTAAAATATTGCGGAACACATAAAAGAATCACATTTGCACTTGATTACAACTAAATATTGCGACATTGTAAAAGGCAAAAATTCTTTTAACATGTTTTGCTTTTAGATTCGACGGGCGAATGTCGTAACTTAAAACTTTGGGCTTTAGGACTTTTGGACTTGAATATGATTAAATGTAATACAAATTTGTACTATGTAAGAAAGTTAAAAATCCTTATTTTACAACATTATAGCCTTTTAATAAATAATATCAAAAATTCATGTTTGACGTCTTGCACTCGATTACTATATGAGGTCGGCAAGATTTTGACATGCGCAAACACAATTAACCATTCTAAATGAGATGATGAGCTATCGACACTCAAATGTGAAGTAATTTGAAAATGGTGAATGTCCAACCTTTCTAAGGTATTGTAATATTATTTATTGACTCACGAATTAATAATGTTTACTTTGATAAAAAAAACTAATTATGTTTTCTTTGTTCGCTGTTTGAACCCCTCTCAATTTACTTTTTGTTTTTTTTCCTAAGTGAAAATTCATATTGCACATTTCGATATATAGCAAAATTCATCACCCGGTTTCTGGAGAAAATGACTCTATCCCTTTAGTAAAAGCGCTAGAGCCTAGGGGTGTGCAAAACGGACTGCCCAAATTGGGACCCGCCCGCACTGGCCTGGATTGGACCAGCTGGTATGGTCCGATTCCTGGGAATATCGATCTGTTTCCTGATTCCTAAATAAAACGAAACTCGAACGGTCGAGAAACAGTTCCTAAATACCGAAACTCGAACAATCGAGAAACATGCCCAAGAATATCTACAAATGATAATGAAATAGGTATATTACACAATGAACATACCTTGTTTCCAAATATTTTCAATTGCAAGCACGAGAGTTCCTCGTTGGATCATGTGTTAGGAAAGAGAGCGGATCGTTGTTTTCTTATCTGTTTTCTTAAAAACAGACACTACTACAGATTACGATCTTTTCCCTTTTGTTTTTTTTTCTTTTTTGGAACAGCTAAGGGCAGTTACACGATTTGCAAATAACCGCCAGAGCAATTACTTGATATTGGCCCTCATAATGGGTCATGGGCTGGATTAACCCATCATAGGTGAGTGGGAAATAATAGATTATGGGTTTATGAATTGGGCTAACCCAGCCCATCATGAGGGCCTAGCATTTGCAGATATTTTTGGGCATGTTTTTCAATAATTCGAGTTTCGATATTTAGGAACTGTTTCTCGACCGTTCAAATTTCGTTTTATTTAGGAATTCATTTCCTTTCAATTAACGAGGAAAATTGTGCAGTGAGCGTCGCCCGGCGAAGACGACAAAAAACAGCAGTCATAAACCATCCCTCGAGCGCACGGAAGTTGAACCTTTTCCATAGAGGATGGATTCCAAAGGCAACATTCCTCGGAGTCGCAATACTCCAACACTATCCATTCCGGAGAAGTAGGACACGTCCGTTGATTGAGCATATCGGGAATTATCCTGGTGTAATAGCGGTCTTCTAATATGTTAGAGAAAGTTTGTCTGTGCCCTACAGATCCATGGAGGATCAGAAGCCAAGGACAAGCATGAGAATTATCAGATGGTGGTCGAGAATAGCCACTCTGCTTTTGTCCCCCAATTTTCCTCCTTTCTTCTGCAAAAGCAAAAAGATTAGTATGAATTCAGCAGCCAAATTTAACTACAATCTGCAAAAACTCGAATTTAGGTCTGGCATTTATGCAAGTTTGTAAATATTTCATTCGAAAATGTTACTAAGTCGGCATATATCACTGGTTGGATATGTATGTGATGGTGCAACGGCCTCTCAAGAGAAAAACTGAAATATGTCGATTTAATTCCTAAGATCCAGCCCACATAGCTAAGAGACATCTTCGATACATATAAATCTTGAAACTTTATATGGTAATATTCAAATCCCAATGCTTATAATTTTGAAGATTTAAGCAAAATGAAGAAGAAGAACTTTAACCTTCAAACTGATCAAAATCTAATTCTAAAATATTTGAATACTAAATTCGCTTCTCTCATATGGCCTAAAAGCCAATCGGTCTCAACCCTTGTCAAGACCTTCCCAGAGGTGAACTGCCCAAGGAAAAGCTCATGGACTACTAAATAACAAGGAAGGTTCCTCTCTCGAGGCAATCGCTCACGTTTAACACGGGCTCTCCCAAAACCTACCAATCATAACTTGTATTTGGTTTAACACGCAATTTTCTTACCTTTTAGAGCTGCTACTAATCGGTTAGGGTCGATTAAACACTTTTGCAAACCAGAGATTTAATAGATTCAAGATTTGATTACGTTAGATAAATATCTAGCGCCATTTCAGTTTATTTTCTCTTTATTTTCAAAAATATTTTGCAAGCAATTTTGGTTGATTTGAAGTGATCATGCATATACGCAATCTATAATTTAACACTCAATAAACCAAAGCAATAAATAAATTGTTATTCCAAACCTATTTCCGGCAACAGCCGACGGCAAGGGGTGGCAGCCAGAAGCAGTGGGTGGCGGGAGACGAGGGCGAGCGATGAGAAAAGTTTTTATTTCTCTTTTTTCCAGAAACAAAAAAGTAAAAAAAAAATTACTTCTTATTTCTATTCCAAACCTATTTATGAACTAAAAATTTGTTCCAAAAATAGAAAAATGAAATTGCGTTGCCAAATGAATTTATGTTCCAAACTTGTTCCAGAAATAGAAAAATAGAAAAAAAAATAAACAGAATAGTCATCATATGCATCCTAGATCTCTCTACCATATTGAACATGAAAACCCAAAAAACCAACTTCTCATCATTAAACATCAACTTACATGGAAAGAATAAGCAACGTGGCCACAATCTGTCCTAAGCAAAAGTTGTAAAATAAATTTGAAAAGATTTTAGAATATTATTAAAAATGTTCACGTCAACTCTAGCGCGTCACGCAGGATGACCGGCGTTTACATCAATAATTTCCAATCAAATTTGACCGGATTAACTCAATTGGCAAAACATAAGAAGATTTAGAACTCAATGGCACAATTAAATCTTTTTGTACAATTTTCCCCTGTATTTTAGGCTATATCTATGTCAAATTAAATTACAATTCGATAATATATGATGTTGATCCAGGCTGCTTGGTTTATCTTTTACACTAGCCTTTGCTTCGGGCTATTTATAAAAGAATAGAAGCTAAAAGCAAGAAGATTCAATTTACCTAAACTTTATAATTTTGGATAATCCAAAAAAAATAAAATTCAATTCTCGTACCACAATTTGCCATATGCCATGAAGCATTGAGCGTGTTTCGACATTAATGACCAAAATGAATTATTAGATGCACCAGGTGCTTGGACATATATATCCCCGGGTGACGAATCGACGAAGCAAAATGAGCAATTTTGCATGTGCGCTGACAATCGATTCCGCTTTTGTATCATGTTCATATTCCTCTTCGCATTGTCAGATGCAGTGTCAATCTTAGATCGATGGCTGAGGTCGAACTCGACTGGTCTAGGGATGAACGATAAAAGGACCTGCAAGAGTACCTATCCCCTTCCACCATCTTTAATGTGTCTGTGATGTAAACAATACTTGACGACTTCATAGAAAGACACGACTATTCCAACCGATGGACCGGCGCGACCAACTCGAGGTCCTACTCCGGCAAACAGTCCTTTCATTCCACCATCCCTGTTCCAAGCAAAAAACAGCCGAGTCCATTAATGAGCCCGCAGACAAATAGAACCATCACAGCAGACAATTGATTTCCATGCAACAGAATCCGAATTCGCAAATGAGCGACACCTACACGCAACTTTTAATATGATTTATATCTCGGGCAGGATCAGAAGGAAAAACTATTGCCCTGAAGATTTGTGATTTGTTGAAAGTGCCAATCCTTTATTCAGGAGGAAGATTCTTCATAGATGCCATCAAAACAATGAATCCTTCCGAGCACGAATTGACCCATGATCACCAGATTCCTTTTCTGTATTCTCTCTTAAATACAGGATTGCTAAACCTAAATGTAGTACCCAATACCCATCAATTGCATGATTGTGTATTTGTCTTATGTTAAATGTACATGTGGTCGAAAACAAAAATCTCGTCCCCACATTGATCTGGGGACCAACTTAATTGAGGAATCTGCATGTGTTTGAAGAAATTGTTCACCTGTTGAGGCCGATATCCACTTAATGACAGGGCTCTTTGTTTTTGGAGTGATGTGAGTTTATCAAGTGATATTCATTGTAATTCGTTAAAAAACTAAAAACGATGCCTTTTCCCTATCTTCACAACGTGGAAAGTAAATTACAACTTACGAGTAGGCATACATCACATCAACATATATATGCTTGCCATGTGCTAGCATAAGAACATAGTACATACCTCCATATTTCAGCTAAAGTTTGTCTTGTCGTCATGTTTAATGCCCTTGTGGGATCCTTCTGTAAGGCCGCAAACAGTAAGTGACAACGAATGATCATCCCAGTTCAACGAGGCTTCTAGTAACAACCTAATTCAAAACCTATCTACTAAATGAATTCCAATCTGTCAGTCTCTCAAATGGATATCTCCCGATCAAAATACCCTAAGATGGAACGTGGACGAGCATGCTTATGATTTGATATATAAATTTGAAGCTCAACATCAAAACTACCTCAATCTGCCGCCTTGTCTTTGCCACATCCAACGGACAAGTCGCAGCAGCTGCAATCGTTCCGGCCACTAAACCAGCGGAAAAATTTGCACCAAGGACAATGGCTGCACTAGATTCCTCTGCAACCATTTCAAAGATTTTCTGCCTGGTCTGTACAAAAAGGCAAGGACATTGATCTACGGATAAAATGCAAAACTATCCAAGCAAAGACCAATTTTTTATTAAGAGTAAAAACAGGAGGCCAAAACTTGCCGGCTCGAGAATTGACCAGCAAATTGCAGAAAAAGGAACATCACGTGCGAGTTGTGCTCCAAGACCAGTCCACAGAAGGCGGTAGGTTTGTACTGTACCATGATATTCATCATTATAATATGCTTATATAAGTAAAATGATGATGAAATAATGAGTTTCCACCAGCAATAGAGAGAGAGTTGCAAAAGCCAAAACCATACTCACAATTTTGAAGGCTGTTTGTGCTTCGGATAGGTTTAATGACCTCAAGCAATGTCTTCAAAACTCCTGGAGGTTTTGGACCATTTTTCATTTCTTTGAATGCCTATCAGTCAATAAAAGTGTTTATTGCTGTTACAACTTCAGTTGCCTCTGGTTGCCAATGAAACTAGCTTGACTTAGGAACACACTTGAAGAGAAGAAGATATCAGTCCTTCCTTCTTCTTTCCTTTCACTAGCTTAGGAGAAATTTTGTTTATGAAAACAAACTAAGGGCATTCAAAGGAAGTCATCAATAATGGATTGTTACTCTCCAGCCAAAGAAGAATTCAATGAAATAAGAGCGTTGACTCCTGAAGAAGCTGTCGAGACAAGATAAAAACTGAACCTGCATTCGCGTTCTTGCCAATTCCACGGGATAACAAGAAATACAGGCTAATGATCTAGCAGCTGAGCCTGCAAGCAATGGAACATATGGTGTCAAGCTTGGCATGTATTCTGTTGTATAACCTTCCATCGCATTGCGCAAGATATCATAGCACGGCAAATAGATTCCCACCTGATTAACAACAATAAGGAATTTCCATCAGCAAGTATGTCTCAAGAAAGATTTCGCATGATTCTTCATGTATAGGAGTCTTACAGTTGGCACCGCCAAAGCCAAGCTTGCATTTGTGCCTCTCCAGAGCCTTGCAAATCCCTCCTTTAGCCCAAGAAAAGAAAAACATGACAACACCCAATTGTGAAAAACGAAGCAAACTGCGAAATGTAGAGTACACTGAATTATATGGTTTTTGCCATGATGGCAATTGTTCACAAATAATTTTTTTATGGGTGAGATAACACTGGAAAGCAACAAAATTGCTAGCTCAGTTGTTATAGATAGGCAGAGCCTTGATCTTTTCTGCTGGATCCTAACAAGAATGAGGCTGAAGTCGCAAATGCCCCAGTTCAGTTTCCAATACTAAATCTCCTCAAGCACCTTTTTATCGATAAGAATCCCAGATCAGTCCATTATCTACCAACTATGCATCCAGTCGTGGTGAATTGAGCGGTCCAAAAGTGGTGGGTTTACAGCAACAAATTCTTGGAGCAATTTGTCTCTGTAATTAGTTCTTTTCAAAGCTACATGCAATCCAAAATTCATAGCTGAGAAACTAAAAGTGGGAACTCTAGAACTTGGCAGTACCCAGAAGGCTGATTGCGCAAATGCATTATGAAGCTACAGAATTTGGCACCATTTGATGTTCAATCTCTGTAGCAAAACATATTACGCAATACATGCTTTCAATTGTCTTGCCAGAAAATCAAGAAAATTATGTAAGGCATAAGCAAGTAGTATTATCATCCAAAGATTTATACAAAATCCTTGGTCAGAATCAAACAGTGAAGCGCCGTAAGTACGTGCTTTTTGCCTTAGTTCTTCTGCCTCATATAATGCTTCTAATAAATGCTCCACAACCGTAAAGCAAACTAACCTGGCGTATGACTTTGTAGAAGACATCCAGAGTCCCTTTATACCGGCCACATTCGGGTGGGCACACTGGTTCATTGTCAAATACGGAACGTGTGCATGACGTATAACTTCTTAAGTCTGGAAGCATCTAAATCGAAACGCAATATACATTCATGGTTAATATCCCCTCACACCTGGGAGAAATCAGAATGCCAATGAAATTATCTGATGAGGCTACAGGAAAAATTTAATAGACAGACACATACCACATTCGAATCGAATGAGGACATGTGACACAGCCCCTTAGAAGGGACTCCAGCAGCCTGAGCTTGCAACCTTGTCTGCAATTTTACATAATCGATAAGTCAAATATTGAGTATCCACAGAAACAGAGTCTCGCATCTTTTAGCATATGAGTTTAAGACACGACAACAATATCGGTACGATCCAATTCTTCACTATCATATAGCTCCATTACAAAGAAATATATAGCAGTAGTATGAATGGCCTGATAATGGCCAATGATCAAAGAAATAACCCTGAAAAATTGACAAGCTCCGTAATTGGTATCTCAACAAGATACGATCAGTCGGCTAAAACAGCAGCGAAAATCAAGAGTCTCGAGATGAGAACAAAAGGGTAAATAAAGGCTCAGCTCACAGGAATTGAATGGCTGTAAACACGCCCAGAAATTGAATAAAGCTTGCGGAACGATTCAAGCGAAATTCGATACCTTGGCGACATCGAGAGGGTTGACAATGATCGCGGAGATGATGGCAGCGCCAGCCGCAGAGAAAGCCCTCTCTCCAAAACCCAACTCCATGTTTGAAACGCATTTTTTCTCTGAGAAGTTCTCCTTGCCGTCTCCGACCATCTTCTCCGCAACAGAGGACGCTTTACCGTCAAAATCAACTCTCGTTGTCACGGCGCCTATCCATGAAGACGACGAAGAAGGCACGCCTTGTCTTGATCCGACCATAATGCCCACCTCATAACCGTAACCTCCTCTCTCTCTCTCTCTCTCTCTCTCTCTCTCTCTCTCTCTCTCAATTCATTCCAACCCTACTTCCAATAAAACAGGGGAGAATTTGCTGTCCGGAAGAGAATATACCCAAGTAAAGTCTCGATTTTTATCGAAAAGAAAGGGGTTAGGCCGACTTCGTCCGCCCAAGGCAACTCAATGGAAGCTGAGAAGGAAAATTCTGGACAGATAACGGCTTGGGTGATTGACTCGTACGTCTGTTGCGGTTTGCCAAATTCAACTTGGGCAAAGAGGTTTCCGAGGGCCTTTTCAAGGTATCAGCTTGATGTTTCTGCAAGGGCAAGAAGAGGGAGGAGATTCTGATTCGTGGCGTGAAGCAGAGAAGCGCCAAACAATTCGTAAATTGGAATAGGAACAGGAATACGAACCGGGGATTGGCGATGGGAGAGAATTGCGTGGTGGGTTGTGGGTCATTTCGCTCGGCAGGTGGCCTCCTTTCTAGCTTCCCAGCTCAGCAGCACTCTGCCCAGCAGGGGAGCCCCAGACAGACACAGAGGTTGGTCTTTGGGAGCCGTCTTTTTCTCCAAATTTTCTGGTGCAGACATGTTCTGGGCCTTTCGGAGAGCGGGGAGGTTGCGTGGCGACGAGGGCAGGCTGACACGTGGCGCGTAACCAAAGGAGATGGCGTGGCTGACTCGGACTCGATGGCTGAGAAAAAGTTGCGGAGAGAAACAGAGCAGCTTGACTTTTGCCTCTCTGTTGATGGGCTGGGATTGGGTCGAGTCAGTTTTGCAAAAAATGATCGTATGCTAACCACCGAAAGCTGTTTGATCTTACTTGTGGACAGGCCTGATAATGAGCTTAAGCACAGCATAGTGGTGGTAACATCCGGTAGAACGTTTTGAGGTATGTTAGGATTTTGCGCACGATCACAAGAAAATAAAGAGTAAAAGCGAAAAAAAAAAATCTAGAGATAAGATTTTTATCTTGGTTCACTCTTAAATTAGGACTCATTTAGTAAAGGATTCCACTATAATTATCCATCGCACATCTCTGTTACATCTCTCAATTACAAAAGAAAGATATTATATATAAGCAACACAACGGCTCTTCATGGACCCAAGCCCAAACTACCTATAAAATACGAGCACAAACTATAAAAAGCTATCTAGTTTCGTGGGGGTGTTGTCCCCTACAACCCTGCGGGGCAGCCCCAAGATCGCCGTCCGCTCACCGAGAACAAGACTCTTGTGCCTTTCTATCGATAGGAAGTATGAATCACATCCCGACAAGTCCATAGTCTCATTCTCTCGATAAGTTCATAGAAACCAAATCATCACATAAAAAGAAGAAAAGCAACATAACACGTTTTCTCATGTGGATCCTTCTGAAAGTAGATGGTCTTATATTGCTTTGTCGGGCTCATTTTGGACTTGATGGCTTGTGTGGGCTTGTATTGTTTGTTGGGCTCGTGTTGGACCTTGATGGGCTTGTATGAGATTTAATCCACCCATTTCTCTGGTTTTGAGGAAATGAAGTGACTTACTTATCAGGGAAAAGAATCTGTTAATTAAGAAAGGTCTGAGAATTTGTTAATCTTCTTGTTCCAGTGTCTCATACAACACAGTATCAGTATTAGATCACACCATGCATCGTTGAAAACTACAAAAGATTTTTGCAAGGACAAAAATAGAAACTATAAGCTTGATGCATTCGATGAATGAATGGATTAGTAGCCATGCAGTTATCCCCTGCCACTTAAAACATGTAGAGGCCTCTTCGAAATGCCTACCAAGCTGCCACTTTTCCCCCCTTCTGTTGGGTCCGTCAGTGACACAAATCCCTTCCTGGAACTCCGTTTCTGCTTCTTGCAACTTATGAATGACACTGTCGACGAAATGCTCGCGGAGACAACGGCTAGTTTCACAGCAATGCCGACGGCCTCGTGCCATTTCAATGGACTGAGCAGTATCTTCAAGCAACAGACCATGAAGCCTAGTCCCGGCCTTTTCTGACGCTTAAGGTCAGCCGGATCATTGCTTCTTTTCGCCATTTGATCTCTTGATTTTATCTTGTTGAACACCATTTTTCCATTGCCGAAACATGCATTTAATTCTCGCACCACATCGAGAGGCCTTCCTTGATATTGGCTCACATTTTCAATGAGGACGGATCTGCTATCTTCCAACCGAGCAAGCGCCGCATGTCTATCTAAGTGCTGCCAGCTCCGCAGCCTCTGCAAGAAATTGCTCTCTGTTGTGAACTTTCTCAAGCTATACATGGTTGTGTAGGTAACATAGAAATTTTAAGAGCAGAAGGATTAAATCGATTAACCAGAAACTCTTTCTTGGAATAAATTTTGGGACTGTGATTCCAGCTTCAGTTTCATGTTCTATTCCAACAGAAATTGCCTCGAGCCCATGATAGTAAATCTTTAACTGCTTACGAAAAACTTTTATGCTGTCGTATGATTAGAGGCAAATTGAAGAAGGACGAATATATGCAGCTTAATCATGCAACATCAATAGCCAATTTACACAGATCTTCCGTGACTGCAAGAGTTCATGTCCTCTGCAATCTCACACATGCTCCACCAATAAATCTAAGATGCCTGGTAAGTCACCACAGCTATATGAACATGAACTTAAACAAAATTAATTCCTTCAATTGATCAAAGGTGGAAGAATGAAGAGTAGGACCGAACCGAACCGAACCACACCTGTAAGTATATGAGCATGGACTCCACATCCTTCAATGAATCTCTTATGGCAGAGAGCCTCTCTCTCTCCTTATATGCTGTCCCCGCAATGTCACAGTTATGACCATGTCGCGAGCAGAAGTTGCAATACCAGAAACTGTTGTTGATTTCACCATCAATGGTGTCTTTCAGTGCCCAAGCCCTCTCAATGAGACCCTGCAGGTCTCCATTCAACTCCATCAAAATCAAAAGCACTCAATGCCCAGCTCAACCCACCAGCTTTATTTCCCTTCTCCCTTTCTGCCGCAAATGACATCTTCCACAATATTCGAGAACGAAGGAGTCCTCTTTTTCAGATTTTGTCAGGCCTTTGTTTTTGCCCTTTTCCTTTCTTCTCTTCACTTGCTGCGGTGGAAGCGTGAGACACTATGGAATGTAAGGTAGACATCATTCCGCTTTGGCAGTGGTTCATTGATGTCGGCGTGTGCTACCAACTTGTCAGTTGTCACCACCTTTTTGTTTCGTTATGCGTGCGTTATGTGGGTTTGCTTTGAAGGGAAGTTTTGCTCCCCCAGCTGAAAGGCTTAGCTGTTTCATGCCCCCACCCAAACCCTCGCCTTCACACGGAATCATGATCGCCGAGCGCATTAGCCCGTCATGACCCGCTTATCTGGAAAGGACGCAGTGTATTCGAGGACCGTCACGTGAGGTTTATAAACATGAGTAGCATTTGACGCCGCACGACCAATCCTTGAACTCAGTGACTTGATAATACAAAATAGTGGCCAGTGTGCTTTCGAGCGTCAGAGCCACAATCGTGCCATCCACTTCGTCATGTACTGACTACTAACATGGTCGTGAGCTTTCATGGGGAATAAAAAGGGAGGTAAACTATAGACCTGAGCATTTAACATAAATTGTTGAGCTTTAAAGACGAGGATTCTGCTGAATACATTCTGTATCTCGACGTGGTTGCTCGCATGGAGGCTGACGGTATGGAAAAAGACTTGATGCGCGCAATCCTACTGAGGAAAGGACAATGGGCGGCGAGTTTTAGGGACGGTCGGTTGAAGAAGTCCCTAAAACTCAGTTCCATTGACAGGCTCGGTGCCATTGAGTTTCCATATTTAAGGCCCATCCTAAGCATGCAAATTCATTCATTCTTGAGTTTTCCCGGTCCTAAAAGCCCACAAACACGTATTGATCAGCCCACATCTCTCTCTCTCTCTCTCTCTCTCTCTCTCTCTCTCTCTCTGGGTCGAGGTCGAGGTCGTCATCCTTGGATGAGGCGCTCGACACCCATATTTACTAGGAAATTTACAACAAAAGAGTGAAAGAAAGCGTGTGAAATCGAATTTGAGATATCTAACTAGGATGCCCAAGGACCATCATGAAATTCCAGAGCATTACATCTTGAATGCACACAATTAACATACTTCAATTGATTATTGGAATTTTCATTGAACAAACTATATTGCCACTGATCACTATTCTACTCACTGAATTGGAGTCTTCATTAAACAAACTAGAAGTGTTGAGAAAATGGGACTACCTCCATTTTAGGAGATACAATTTGAATTTTAGTGTGCACGCCTCTCCTACTATTGTTATGATGTTCAACATCCTTTATTTTGTCGGTTAACATCCAGTAGATACGTAATCATCCATACCCGATCGGTCAATTTGACAAATCCTATTAAAAGCACGAAAGGCACTCTAAATCTAATTGTATTTGACAAATTTGAGGTTGAATTGTACGAGAATTCGGTTAAGTTGCACTTTTTCAATGGAAATGTACGTTTTTTCATTGTCATAAACTTATAACTTATCGGTGAAATGCAATTCACGCATCATATAAGCTTCGTACAGTGAAGATGGCCTAAAGAATTGGCCCAATAATTGGAGCTACAATTGCAATTGTGGGCCTGGTATCATATATGCTCTGAGTAAGTTCATCAGAAGATGATCGGCTGAGTTTCAGATTGTATTTTGAGTTTGCATACGAATACTAATAAACTGAAGCGTGATACTTAGGAAGCACCTATTGGAATTAGCAAATCGATGGATGCACCCTAAGTTGGTTGATTCTTACAAAACTATCTTACTTAGGAAATGCAAAAGGTAATTTCTGCAAATATCTAATTCTTTTCCATGATGGTTGTTCTTCAGTTGCTTTGAACTGTTTGAAAACATCAAGAACCATAATACACCTCACGAGTATAGTGAAGATTCACTTTCCAGAAAGCCTCTTCTCGCAGTGCTAACAAAAGGGTAGAACAAGAAGGCAAAGCCAGACAAGTGGAACACATGCAAAACTTCTGTTGAATATCTGCTCCTCGATTCTCACCACCCGAGCCAGCCCCACCAATCAAAAACAATTCTTTTATTGTTTTTCTTTTGTTCGAGGCATTGTCAAATTTTCTGGGCATGAAATGGGCATAACGAAAGTTAAAGAAAGCGAGGGAAAGCAGAAGATTTGGCTCTTCGTTTCACGAACAAGCTAAGAAACATGTAGGACCAAAACCTTAGCAGTCCCGAGACGCGGCGAATGGAGAGAATCGGAACGAAATCTACGTCAGGGTGCTTCTTTTCTTTCCTTTTCTTCTCTTTTCTCATCTTTTTCTTGCCTTGCGATATTCTGGGTAAGATCTCGTGGCCCGTAATGGGTGCAACTAGCCTGATTTAGGCTGAAGATCCCACTCATTTACACCCCCAAATGGTAAGAGAATAGGATCTGTGTCCTTGTCTTTATTCTGATCTAATTTGAGGAGATTTTCTCTTTTTGCCTTTTTGGTTCGTTCAACACATCTTCTTGTGAACAAACAGTGACTCCTGCTCTGCTTTAGGACTGCTTTGAGTGGACAAGGAGAATTTTGGAGCGGGGCATGAGCAGTAGCAGCCGACACAGGTCAGACAAAATTAGGCGGCTACACATTATTGTTCTTGCTCCTTAATCATCATCCACTAACGGAACGGGAATTCCCCTACTCACCCCTACAGGAATCTAGGGTTGCTAAGTGTTCTTCATACTCATATGTAGGGATTCAAGATCATGGCTCCTTTTTGTTCTGGCCATGATAGGGTTCAAGACCTCCCAAGCTCCATGACCATGGGGAGTTAATCTCACACAAAGTAGTTGAAAAGTCAATGAATCCTTGATTTTCAATTGGTTTTTTATAGGGAAATGACACAAATGGTCATTGAACTTTGACCTAATATGTAATGTGATTTTTGAACTTTTAATTTGTTCAATGTGGTTCATGAACTTTAGCCTAATGTGCAATGTCATCCTTGAACTTTCAATTTGTTTAATGCAGTCCCTAAACTTTTGATACGTGTTCAATCTAGTCCTTGAACTATATAAAAATGTTTAATGTTGTCCCTGAACTTGAATTAATGAAAAAATAACATTGAACATTTTCAAATAGTCTAGGGACTAACTTGAACATGATCACATTAAACAAATTGAAAGTTCAGAGACGACATTACACATTATGTTAAAGTTTAGGGATCATATTACACATTGAATCAAAATTTAGGGACTATATGTGTCATTATCCCTTTTTAAAAAGGTTTGAGAAGTCAAGCCTTTGTTTTATTGGCTTCATGTATTCCAAGAACTGTGAGATTTTCTTTATGTGTAGAGGTGCGGTGGTATCTTGTGAGATGTGCTGGTTTTGGTATGTTGGACTAAGTCTACCTTTTTGGTTTGATCAGAGGAAGGTAATCCACGTCAAGCTTAGGAGATTCACAAGAAACTACTTTATTGTAGTTTGACCCAAAATGGTTGTGCCAAGTAGGAATCGAACTTGAGAATCCGGTTGTTTACCACTCATCCAACATCTCGGGGCTAAGAAATACTGAATCCGAAAGTGAAGTAGAGGGCCCTTTTCCTCATGGTAATCCTTCATCTATTTCAGTATATGTCAAAGAAGGCCTTTGCAACTTGCATGTCTTAGGCAGCAGAAGCAATGTTTTCGTATTGAGGTGTCACTCAAAAAGTATCTCTTCGCATGGTAGAGGTGGGGACCAAAGAAATCTGAGGATGAAAATGGGTCTGTGTATATATGCATTGGCAATGGAGCCTGACTTCTGAGCACTTGGGATCTCCTGACAGAGAAGCATTAAAATCGGGTCAAGGACTCGATAGATTTTCCCCTAACGAATCCACCTGCTAGATTTCAAGAACACAGTCAATCCACCCCATTTACCAAGCCCAGTTGCGCTCAGTCACGATCCACAGTTTCAGACCAGGAGACAAGAAGCACACGCGACACCAGCAATCTCTGATTGCTCCGACCCTCGAAAGAATGCATGAATCGGACCCTGAAAAGCGACTGCACAGCATACTTGGGTGTGTTCCTAGGACAGGCGGCCTGACCAAAGAAGCCTAGGACAGGGGCTCCTAGGGATGAGTCCTTGACAGCGGTCCTTTCCTAGAAATGCCTGCCTGACCTCCCTACACGCTCTTTCTTGGTGGTTTCCTAAGACTTGGACTGAGAAACGACATAGCCTCCCCTTGATTCATACGTTACGGGGTCCTACTCAAAGGGTCTTGTGCTCTCTAGTCAATGTCCCTTGGAACGGCCGATTCCCCACGACTCTTGTATGTCTTTTTCTCGTTCTAACCTTCTATTGGTGCGATCGTTTTTTAATGAGCCAAATGAAGCATGCGTCCAAATCACGATTTCATCCGTCCCTAATGGTGTTGCTTCAGGGAAAATTACCACACAAAAAAAGTCTTAAACCTATTATATTTATGTCAATTCAATTGAGTCATAAAACATTTTAACAATTTGCCAATATACTTCATCCTAGCAATTTTTACTGTCGTTAACGTAGACGTCGGCTATCTTACGTGGCATCGCCTGTGCTTTTATGGATAATTTTTGTAATTTTTTTAAATTTTATTTTTCTTTTCGTTTCTTTTTCTCTTTTCTTTTTTCTCTTTGTGGCCGGCGAGGACCGCCTCACCCAGGCCCTCACCGACCATCGTCCGTGACCGGTCTCCAGCCATCACCTAACCTAAGACCGCCCACCGGAGAAAAGGAAAGACAAAAATAGAAAAAGGAAAAAAATCAAAAAAATTTAAAAAATTGTCCACGTCAGCGCCGGCTACACCACATAGGATGACTAGTGCTGATTGGATTGCCACGTCAGTGTTTTCTGATGAAAATTGACCGGAAAAACTATCTTGGCAAATCATCAAAATGTTTATTACTGAATTAGTACAATTGAACTGTTTAAGGCTAAATTGGCATAAGTCCGCTTGGTTTATGACTTTATTGACGATTTCCCCTTCAATGGGGTGTCAGCAAATATTCCCTTCTTCCATTAAAAATGTAGAGGGTAGATCAACTTCACACGATATGCCTTAAATACTGTCGTTGCATGAACTTTTATATCGTCACATAACCTTTATTTCAGTGGTCTTAAAAGGCTAGTTTCTTGACTACACGATACTATGCATCTTAAGCTAACACACACATCAAATCAAATTGGAAACGTAAAAACAACAGTAAATCAGATCATGGATGGCACGGATCGTAACTCTCCAAGTGTATAATGCCCCAAAGTGGCAATAAATTAACGTCTTACTGTTTTTAAAGCATAAACTGTCGGTTGCTACATGACCGATTCCTTGTATTTTTCTAAAGTACATTTAATGAGACTTATATGCACATAGTTAATTTTCAATATTTATTACCCTCATGGAGATTTGAATGGTGATACACCAGCTCTTTTCACTAGATCCTTCCATTTTCAGTGAGATCCATACTAGATCTTTCTCAAGAAACAAATGAACTCAACTAGTTCATTTCCTTTTGTGACAAGATCGATCCATTCGGCCACATCGATTTAAATTAATATCCCCTCCATTTTCGAGTGAGATCAAGTGAAGTACAAATCCGACATGAATGAGCCTACCCTCCTCTTTCACCTACTTCTAGATGTGTGCATTATATGATTGTAAACAGTTCTCCATGTTATGATTCGCCTTGTGTATTAACATAATCCATTCGCGCTGCTGAGTGCAGAGGCGGAATTATACTAGAATCCCTATATCTTCAACCCCCATTCAAGAACGAAAGAACTAGGAAAAAACATCGATGACCCCACAGGGAGAAAAGAACTAAGAACCATATCCTACATAAGGTAGGATTATGAAATTATGTAGCAAGTTCTAGGAAGTTCATTGACATCTAATTAATTGCTTTTTATTACTTCGTGCCCAAATTTTTATTGAAATAATAAACCGTTATACAACCATATGATGCGTGAATCAGAAGGCAACCATGTAGTGAGGGTTCTAGGGTTCGAGTTTCATGGGTCAGTTTGAACCATCTTACCCGCTAAACCCCATAGAGGCTCCAAGAAGTCCTCTCTCTTTTTCCTTTTGCAAAAGAAGAGAAAAAAGTACCAACAACTAACGCAAAGAAAGGAGAACAAAGTAGAGACAACAGGGGAATTGAATTGGTCAGATCAGATCCAACAATGGGTGGGAGAGAGCTTATGGCTGTCAAGTGTCCAGTGTGGCCAACCGTTGAACATGGGGGTCAACTTTTTATAACAAGTTGGGCACTGGGCAGCCTTTGATATGTCCCACTGAACATCCCATCTTGAGTTAAAAACACAAATATCTTCCCTCTCCCCATCCATTATAATTGACCCACTTGAATATATTTTCATTATATATAGAGACAGAGAGACAAGAAGCATAGAAAAGGATATTATAGGCTCACTAAAAAAAAATGAAACTGAAGAATTTGCAAAGGGCAAGAGAAAAAGAAAGAGGCTAAGAAATGAAACTGCACACATTTTGCATTCTTAGGATTAGAGAATTCATGCACATTTACACTCTTGCAACAGGATGAAACACGAATGGAGTCTGTCATGAATGTGTACACAAAACTGCAGTCGGGACTTCAGCATCATACATCTGCACCGCAGAAGGACCAAAAACGCATGAAAAAACATTTGCAAGACTTCCATGGACATGTAGGATTAGTGTTTGTACAAGGGGGAGGACCTTGATCGATTCAGTTTCTTCACAGCCGCGACCGGAATTTCATCGGTCGCTCTTCGTCACTGGTTACAACGAACGAATCGATGAAATCCCACTCTGGAATTTGGCCATTAGTTATCAGTGAAGCACCAAGGGATCTTGAAAATAATTATCCACATCCCATTTACACGACCCGAGATCTTCTTCCAAGAACTCGAAGCACACTTGATCGAAGTCGTCCTTGGAAATCGCATCGGCCCCGCTCATCTCTTCCAAGAAAACGGGGCCGGGACTTTCCGGGTCGAAAAAGCCCCGCAAGAAAACCGGATCCAACAGACACCCTTCGTCCTCGGGAACCTGCTGAGCCAGTGGCCAGTCGCGATGGTCGCCCACCTTGGACTCAGGCTCGGCTTCCTCGCTCGTCTGGAACCTCAACACCGACGTGGGAGAGGAAAGGCTCTGGTTCCGAACAACTTTACCGCTGCCCTCCGCCGAGTCGGGCACCGCCGCCGCGTCGATGTCGATAACTGGCCTCGCAAAGTTGGTCTGAGCATCTGGGCCCTTGATCCGTATCGCGGCTCGATCGTAGACGAGGGCGGCTTCCTCCGCCGTGTCGTAGGTGCCGAGCCAGATCCTCGTCCGCTTCACGGGGTCTCTGATCTCCGCCGCCCACCTCCCCCACGGCCTCTGCCTCACCCCTCTGTACCTCCTCCCGCCCGCCGGCGCCGCCTGCTGCTGCTGCTTCACTTTAGGCCTCGCCTT